AAGTCCATAAATAACAATGCGCGACAGTCAGGGACATAAATTGGCGCATCAGTGCCATAACATAGCGCGTTTCCCCAATGTGGTACACTTGGTACGATCCCATTACTGAGACTTCATATCCCGAAAATTTCCAGCTCTTCCCTGCATCCCTTTCATGGTATGGGTCAGATCTGTCCTGTGCTATTGCGTCTATGGGGTCCTTAAAAGCGGACACTTTCAGATATGGAACTATTGCTGGCCTGTAAGGAGGAATTCCACCGACGTCTACGTATTTACAATGCATGGAAATCGAGAAATCAAAGCCAACAAGAGAACGAGACCCCAAGAGCACCAAATGCTGTCTATGCCAATGCACAAAGTAGGTTTTCTTCGAAGTTGGAGGTATTCGGTGGAAATAAGATTGTACTAAGGGCACTCTTTCCATAAGTATCGAAGAAATTTGTGCCAAAAAATCCGCACTATGGACCTGGATCACCTCGTACTGCATCGCCTTGTACAAGTTTCAAGGAAAAAGCACGAGATAGGGGCGGTAGGGCGCAAGATTCCTTGAGTAACTCCGCCTGCCAGCGATTACTCCTTCCGCGTTGATAGTTGCCCTGTCTGCTGTCTCGCTCGTCGACATGTTCTCTCGCTGCTCTTGCATGGTCTATCGCAGAGAATTCACACGGATTCTTTGCCTCTCGCTTGGGGCAAAGGTCTGATTGGGAGCTTTTCGACAATTCCCTCTGCCTTCTCTTCTCAGGGGAGCCAACTAGCACGTATACTTATGTTTTCAACGCCGCTGCTATCGCTACAGATGCTGGGGTGTGTCAGGCGCAGCGCCGGCCTGTTCCGGCCAATTATTAAAAGGGGCAAGTGGCAACAGGTGCTGTAAAATGGACTGGCACCAAAAGTAGCCCTTCCTCTCATACGCCCCAGCACTCGCAGTGAAGAAGACCGTGCACATGGTCGAGTGAACTCAGTGTCGCCTTTGACCAAAGCGCAGGAACCCGCACTTACTGTTAGGAAATATGAGTGCAACTTGGGCCAGTCATTAACTGGTTGCTTTGTACTATTGAAAATGGCGAAGTTTAGTTTCAGAACGTACGGTGATTGCACCACAAGTGAATCCAGCTCTTATTATGCAAAGATATTTCAAAGTGCCATTTTCACGTCCAGCTGATATCTACAAAAACCACAACAACAACAATAACAATAACAACAACAATGGTTAGTTTTGTTTGCTTTTGTCAATTTACCAGTGGGTTGACCATGTCCGAAGTCTTTTTGCATGGATAAATGCTTCGAGCTGATAAAATTTATGTCTCATAGCGCGCTGTTTGTCGACGGGGGGGCATTTTTGGCTACTATCATTGGCTTCCCTAGTTCCGGTTTACAAATCTCACCCTGGTAAAACTTGTGAACCCTTGTGAAGCTGGTGCAAGATAGTCTAGCCACCATCCTAAAACGTGTTAACTCGAGAAAAGGCTACCTAGATGGGTCGGCACATCTATGGAAAGCAGAATGCCCCCCCCCCCCCCCCCGGCGCGCCCCCCGTCGACAGACTGCGCGAAATTCGATGTCTATAGCTGTTTCCTCTCGTTCTTCACCCCAAGTAAGGTAGATTATGGTACTACTTCCAGTGGATATTACTCATTTGAGCAAAGGTGATGTAAGTTGCAAGTACAGTTGTTCATCATTACGGACCGGTGGGGCGTGGCAGTGCGGCTGCATTTGGTGCGGTTTAGCAAAGTCGTTCTACACCAGTTTTTGAAGCGAACAAGTGCATTACTGTATAATATCCTTCTTATTACTCGGTTTCTACCACTCTTTTGTCGCATACGCGTTGCAACAAAA